AGACTCTGCTCTCAGGGAGATCCTGGAGAAACTGCTCTCTGTCTCACTGCTGTTTCTCTCCTCTTCCTTTGACAGACACTCTGAACAGAGAGAAGAGTAAGTGTTTCCTACTGTTACTGGTTTTCTTTTCCTTCATTCTTCACTGCTCTAGTTTTTGTGTTTTATATAATTTAGGATACTGAATGTGTGTGATTGTATGTTGTGTAGTATTGTAATACTAAAACAATAAAAGATAAAGCTAAATAATGAAGATTGATTGGGTCATAGTAATATGAAAATGTAAGAATACTCTTTCATTTATTTTTATCTTTATATATTGAGAAGATAAAAAACGTCTCTTTCTCTGCATGAATATTTTCAATACTTCTGCACTTGTGCAGATTACACAAAACACTTTCTCACTTCCTGACTGTACACACCTGCGATTGAGCTAATTCTAGAGTTTATAGAACTGAGAGAAAGACGTTGAACTCAGTTCTTTTAAAACCTGTTCAGTTTTAAATGCTCCCCTGAGGTGTCTGTTGTTTTCTTTGACAGCTGCTGCATCTGGAAAGAAGGGTAAGGGTAAGCAACTTGGGCTCCAGCGTCTGCTAATCACTGCTTGTTAATATATCGATCAAATGAAAGTTGCTTTGCATAAGAGTGTCACCCAGTTAAACGGTCCAGTACATCATTCTGTGACTCTGGGGCAGATTGCTGAGATCATGACATGTTAGTTTGCGGAGGACAATCGGAGAGACACGCTTGCCCCTGTCTGAGGTGTGGAACAGGTTCATGGACATCAGCCCTGCCAGCTACAATCCATTAACACTTTCCCCATTATCTGATATCATCTCTGGCCAACAGCCATGCCTGCATGCCTCCCCCACCTGCGTGTATCTGTGAATAATGGGGCAGTTCTTCTCCCTGTGGATCTGTAAAACTCCCTGTAAAACTCCCTGCAAGAGAGCCATGCCTTGCATTAAGGTTCAGCGAAAAGCAGGCAAACAAACCTTAAAATCATCCCTATAGATAGCGTGTGTGCCACGAACACCATGTTCCATTCTGCTGATGCTCAACAGAGTACTCACATGGTTAGACTGCAGGCAAAAGACCACTGACTGCTTGAAGACCCTAGAAACAAGGGCTGTCCGAGAGCAGGCTTGTAGATATCACCTGTTTGGTCTTTAACTGAAGAGCAATTTATAATGAAACAGATGGAGATCTGATTGCATCAAGCATTACTAAATAATATTGAATTTTGAGATCATACTGTTTGGCAATCGAACCACATCAATATTGAGTCCAAAGTGGCAAATTAAGAGAAAAACGAGAGATGCGATAATATCATTTTGTTGGCCATATGCAATTTCTTGCATCAGGAATGTGTCTTTTCTCAGACCCCAGCTTGCTCTCCATGAGACACACAGTCAGGGAGAGAGAAGCTGGGGGTCAGAGCGCAGGGTCAGACATTTATACAGCACCCCTGGAGCAGCTGGGGTGAAGGGCCTCGCTCAGGGGCCCAATGGAGTAGGATTCCTCTGCCGGCCATGGGATACAAACCAGCATGCTTCCAGCACACAGGTGCAGATCCCGAGCCCCAGAGCCACCACTCTGCCCGGTGTGTCATAAATTGAGATATGACACTTCCTGCTGCTCGGTTAGCGGTCCGCATTTGGAACAAATACAAAATAACATCCTCCAGTTTTCACTGGTAATGGACTGCAATAAGTACTGGATGTGTTGCTGCTTCCCTTCATTCCCTTGTAGAAGGATTTACTTTGAATATTCCATTAAAATGCAATATTATGCACCATAACTATTCAAGAAGACCTGTGTTATGCTACTGTAGTTTGATATTAAATAAAAGGGAAAAACATGGGTAGTTCAGAATCCTAAATACCGAACCTGTGTGAACCACACAGAAGAGGTTGAGTTTTCACATATATAGATCGTTTTGTCTCAACAGAGCTACAGGTAACTGGCAAAATAAAGGAAACACTGGAATAATTGAGGAATACAAAGTATATTCAAAACAGGTGCTTCCACATGGGTAGAGACTGTAGACCCAGAGAGAGAGTCTCTCCTGTAGCTTCAGGAATACAGGGAGAAGGAGAGACTGTAGACCCAGAGAGAGAGTCTCTCCTGTAGCTTCAGGAATACAGGGAG